TGCCAGCTCCTTCCTCCTTGCCCAGCAACAGCAAGATGGAGGCGTACAGTGGCCAGCTGGGATCTTTCCCCAGCTCCCAGTTTCAGTATGTCATGCAAGCAGGCAACCCTGCCTCCACCTCCTCCTCTTCACACATGTTTGGTGGTGGCCACATGCAGCAGAGCTCCTACAATGCCTTCTCCCTGCACAATCCCTACAACCTCTATGGATACAATTTCCCTGCTTCCCCCAGGCTGGCGGCAAGCCCGGAGAAACTCACCACCTCCCAAAGCACTTTACTCTGCTCTTCCCCATCCAGTGGGGCCTTTGGAGAGAGGCAATACATTTCCACGGGGATGGATCACGGGATGCACATGATCAGCCCTCCTTCCAGCAACCAGCAGACAGCCAACACCTGTGACAACAGACAGTATGGTGCGGTTCAGGGCTCCTCCTCACAGATGTCAGTGCACATGGTCTAACAAGCCATGCTTCTTCTTGGCATCAAAGACAGCCAGACCTTCATTGTTTCCAGGTGTGAACCCATCCCAGTACTTTTTGCCTTCAAAGTTATAGTGGAACTAGTATAGTAAAGATAAATAAGAGCATAAGCCATCTAGGTGTGTGCCACAGAACCTTGTGGAAAGCCTCAACTGATGTGCCATCACAACTTGTTGTAGCCCAGGGCCTCCAGACTTTGCATGGAGCATCTGCTTTTTCTGGACACTGCAGAGAGAAGGGCATGACTTTAATGAGAAGCTGGAAAGAAGCAGCTGAATATACCATTTATGCATTAACTTTCAGCTAGTGCGAGCTTTCAGCTTGGAGGTAGCTGTACCCCTGTGCTGTATCCTCCGGGTGTTGAAGAAGGGGAGTCTCCCAGGGTTTCATCCTCTGAAGCTGCACTGCCCATGGCTCCAAAGACCTCCTCCTTCCCAGACCATTCCTCACTGCTGGAGTGGCTCAGGCCATTTCTGAAGCCAACAGTGGCCTATGGGTCCTTCTTCCACTGTAGCACAGGAATGGTCCTGCTGGGCTGGAGCTTCTTCCAAAGATGTTTCTGCATTTTCACCATGGCTCTGCCCGACCAGCGGTTTCTTTATGAGGGTTGAGCTCATCAGGACCCAGCCTGCATATGGAGATGGGAGAGAGGAGAGAGAAAAGTTTTAACCCACAAATGAGCCTCAGACATAAGCAGGGAATGAACTTTCAAAAGATGCATAGGGGAGGGGGGCTCAGCTCCTGTTGACTTGACTCAAAGTAATGCAGCCAAAATGAATGGATGACAGCCTTCATGGGGAATATGTCCCACAGCACTCAACCTAACAGGAGGAAAATGTCCAGACTGAGCTCACAGGGAAAGCAATGAGAAAAGAGAGCTTTGCTCTACAGGAGTGCATCTGGCCTTGCATGCAAGAGTTGTCATAGAAAACCATTAGCATTTCAGTAACAGTGAGGTCGAGTATTCACCAACCTCCCACCTGCCACACGATCTCTGTTTAGCCAAATAGATCATTGCCTTTCAACATCTTTCTTTTCTGTTTTCTTTCCTTCTTTTTTTTTTCTCTTCAAATCCTTTAAAAATAAGAAAACAATTGTAGCTTGGTGCAAGCAATGCATTTAAGTTGTGTGAAAATGCAAATACCAAGTAACAGAATACAGATATTATTGAGATTTGTTGTGAGGTGTTGTAGATAAATGTATTTATATGCCTAGTGGGGTATTCAGTATTATGAATATAAAAGAGGGCAATAAAAATGGTATGTAAAATATGTATGAAGAAAAAGGTGTATAAAGATTTGCCCTATGCACGGAACTCTGTTTCTAAGTGCCAAGCACAGAACGCGCTAAATAAATTTTTGCAATTGTTCCCTCTGTGTTTTTCTCTGTGAAAATTTCTCAATGGTATTCTAGAGACAGATATTTTCAACATCCAGTCACCCATGTTTGCACAACAGACAGATTGTGAAGTCTAGGTAATATTACAATAAATATATTCTGTCTTCTCAAGAAATTTTAAAAATTGAGTGCTTGGGATTTGTAAGGTGCCTTCTTCACAGGAAGCATGTCTTAAAGACAGCTGGAGTTGTTGTTTTCATTATTAAAGTCTAATAAAAAGCTCTTCAGAAGGATTTTTTTCACAGTCAGTGTGGGCAATAATACTTGAAAATAACTCTTTAATTTATTTCTCATTTTAAAATGTAATTTTGGGGTATGTGTCAGTTTTTCATTTGCACTATGTTTCTAATATGAGATTGAGATGTTAACACTGAGAGCTGTGGGGAAGCTGAAGTCCCCTCAAACCTGGCTGTAAGTTATGGCTGCAGAATTTCCAGCTTTCCTTATGTCAATTAACTTTTGTTTGTTTGTTTTTCTGAATTGAAATACCACTAGGAAGGTAGAAAGATGTTGAAAGACAAATTCTGAAAGCATTTATTAATTTTTGGTTTTACATGGAAAGATAAATACATGGATGCCAATCCCAGTTCTGTGCCTATTCTGTCTGACTGTATTCTGGCTTTCTAGTTGTGGATGCTGCTAAAAAGGATAAGAAGGACTATGGATGGGAGACAACATGTCCCTCACCTTGTAGTCTTTTGTTTAACCCTAATAATGAATTCTTGGTTTAATCTTGAAACAGGGAGTTTTACAGCCTTTCCAAAATCCTTTCAAAATCTTTCAGAAATACATTTCAGTTTGTGCTTTGAGGTTTGCTGTGCTTTCGGGTTTAATTCCATCTTTATGGCAATAATTTCAACAAGTTAATAGTTTGTTGTGTGAACCAGTATTTCCTTCTGCATAAGATTGCTCTTACTTATTTATTTCATTTAATTCTTTGTGAGTGGGTCTTTATTTCAGCTAATAAGTGATTCAACAAAATCAAAATAATTCTCAGTATCAAAATATATGTTTCTAATCTTGTTTAAAACCAACAATATTTAATAATAAAATAGCACTGGAAACAGTTGCCGAAGAAAGTAAAAGACAGATGTAGGGCACAGCCTTCAATATTAGTGTAAAGGACTGGAATCCCAGTTTCCATGCATTTTAGTAGGAGTCCTTGGGGAAGAACTTTGAAATTGCCATCCAGACTCTTCAGCAGTGTGATCCTTCAAGTTATTGAGCCCCTTGTCCCTGATCCAACCAAGCTATTCATCATTCTGAGATAATGTTACTGCATCAGTATGAACTGAAGTTGCTTTCAGTATGAAACTTATTGACCTTAGGGTGAGCATTTATTGGCCATATTTATAGGCATATTTATTTAGCTTTTATGGGGCACATATATAAAATTAGAGAGCTTAGTTAGCTAGATGGCTATTCCTTCATCTTAACATATTTAAGTGTTTTGTTGCTCCAGGGTCAGAATATTCAGCATCAAGACTGAAAAAGAATAGGGAAAAAACCCTGTGGAAGAATTCCCTGTTCCAAGATGTAAAGTTGTCAGTATACAAATAGGACTCAGTGTGAAAGTTAAACTGACTGGCTATGAGGATTAAAAGCAAGATAACACTGAAATGGGGGAAAAGAATTACCTATTTCCTTGGTTGTCACAGTGCAAAGCAAAAGTAGAGCATTGTTTGGAGGGCAGGATCAAAAATAACAGGCTTAAGTATGTTACTTAGTGTTCATTTAGGTGCACTGGTGAAATCCTCACGGGGTACCACTCCCCTGAGCAGACAACCTGCTTAAGGTCTTGACACACCAGCTCAGAATTAGGAGGAGAGCATTGCAGTTGAAGTGGACCCAGGTGTGACAGAGGTACCTCATGTACAGCAGTGACTCTTCTCCCCCTGTCACCTCCATATGGACACAAGGCTTTGAGCTATTTGTCACTTCTTACCAAGGCTTCCCAGAGAAGAGGTGACGGCGATGAGCAATGCAAGAGGTGTACCTGGATCAGTCTGGGAGATCCACCTGGGACCAGCTGGCCTGGTGGATGGCCCAGGTTGCAGTACGTGCAGCAGCCACTGCTGGAAGACTCCCTTTCCTTGGTGACTGCCCTCACCACAGGGCTTGAGAGCCTCCTGGCATAGTCATGCTCTCATCCAGGAGCCCTTTGATTGCTCATTTGAAAAACATCTGTGTGTGTGGGTGGCAGAGGCAGCAGTGGTGTGGTGCATCTCCTCTTCCTTCCTTCCTTCCTTCCCTACTTCCTCACGAACACTTGAACCCCTTGGCCAGCTTTGAGCAGCTTTGAGATGTATGTTCTCATATATTTCTTTAGAAGAAACAGTGGAGGAGGACAAGGACCTTATTAATTTTCACACCACCATGTAACATCTCACTCAAAGAAGCCACTCAAGTTGTGGGTGTCCTGCGTGGATGTCCTCCACCACAAGTTTCATCCGGTGTATGGATGTTATTAGACACCATAGGATCTACTCAGAGCTGCAGAAACCAGGGGGTCTTATTTCCACCACTCCTGGGCTGACCCATCAGTTATTAGCTCATGCAGACTTCTGGCTTCCAGTCCAGGAGAAAAGAAGGCTCTATCTCTCAGCCCGAGGCTGAAAATTGGAAAGGTGAAGGATTATCTACCACCTCAAAATACCCTTTTTTGACAGGTACCCTTTTTTAAAGGGTAGCAGAAATCTCAATGACAGGAGCTACCTCATCTTGCAGTACAGGCTTTTCCAAGTGCAAACCTGGCAACTTGTTACACAAATGAAGAGAATGGGACAAAAATAATCAGAGTGGGTTTGCCAGCTTTGCATTTAGTTTCATTTCTTAACACACTGACAGGCACAGGACATAAATATTACTGTAACCACATTCAATGCAGCTCAGCAATACCAGGACATTGCCTTCCAATGCAACATAGTGTACTTAGAGGTAACATAAGTCCTATGTGCTAAAGCAAAATGCTCAGGGCACAAACATAAATACAAATTAAGGAACATAGTCTGTCATATTATATGAAAATTACAATAGATGATCTGCTAAAGTGGCTCATTTAGTTAGCTTGCTCACAGTTCCACTTGGGCCAGCTCTGTGTCTCTGCAGTACTGCTGCACCCAGTCAGCTGGAAAACAGTGCTTTGAGGTGAGTACTGTGCTGGATGCTCAAGGGCAGACATGACCAAAGAGAACCTAGGAGCACTTCTGGAAGCATTCAAGGGTAGCCTGCAGAAGTCACCCTATCTCAGCAGAGAAGGGCATTTACTGGGTGAAGATTTACTGTGGTAGATGAGGACTGACAGACAGCATTTGTCAATTAAAAAAAACACAAAAAAAGTATTCAGATTATTTTTTCCCCGACTCAGTTAGGCACATTGACTCAGAGCACACATCCCATGTGAGATCAGCACTAGCAGATGAGTTTTGCTGGATGTTGCTTTTTGAGCATCATTATAAATGAAACAACAACATGAAAGTGCACCCAAGGAACTGGGCAGAGGAACACCAGAGCATGACTGTTATATGCTACATATGTACTAGAAATGCAGCTACAAAAGCAGTGACAGAACTTTGTGAGGAGAGTGCTCGTGTGGCCAAGGCATAATTTGCTAT